TCAAGTGCTAGTGAATGTTACCTCTAGGATATCTATTTATTTATTATTTTAATTACCATTTATCTTTTTGTGAACCCAACGTATAAGGGAACATTCTCGTAGTCCTATTGAGCATTTCAATTTATTGTGTAAGGAATGTAAAATTTAACATTATTATTCGCTTCCGCATTTAAAATACAAATTCGTTTTCTTTGAATTCGAAGTCATTACACAAACTCACTACAAATATATAATAAGTACTTTATAAGTGTATTATGAATCGACGATGATCAATCTATAATATTTAATTCAATCAAAGTCATAGTTTAACTTATTAATGTATTCGTAGAGCTATAATAATTGAATTAAGTTAACTCTCAATTAATATATTATATTTTTGGGTTATATCGGTAAATTTTTTTAATTATGGTAATTATAATTGGATTAAAAATTAAACTAATTTTTTATGATAAAAAAGATCGAAAGTTTAATAGGAAATATTTGAAAAATAAATAGTTATTTACAGAATTAATAACATTAACTCTACATGTTTAGCAATTATGCTATTCCGTGTTAAGTGTTGTTGTTATAATAGTTATTGAGTAAAAATATTTTTAATAAAAAATTATTAAATATTTATAAAAATAATTATAAAAAATATTATTATATTAAAAAATATAAATAAAAAATAATTGTTTATAATGGAATTACCAAAAATGTACAACAAAAAAAAACTAAAATGATAGTTGTGTATTTGGTAAATATTATAAAGTACATTAAATAATTATTTATACAATAATATTAATACATATATATCTATAATATTACGTATTAGTAATAATATTTGTAACGACTCGCTTTTTTTGGAGAGAAATGAGCGTTGTCTCATACATAAACTTTATAAATTTTGTATAACATTATATTATTTCTTATAAATCAATAATACATCTCTTATATGGAATCAAAATTCATGAAGCTTACAATAATAATTCCTATCATTCAAAATTATATCACAATAATATATTTTGCTCTACTTTATAATAACGTATTAAGGTAGTTAAAAGATTCTTCAAAATCTTTATTTGATCTTGAACTCACTCCTGACCTGAACTAATTTGCACTAGGGGAGGGGGTGAATTGGGATGAGCTTCACGGACTCAGTAAGAATAAAGTAGTATTCAAAATAAAGATATGCAAATGCACATTCATACAGGTTTAATAAAACAAATGCAAATTTTATATTCATAGAAATCCAATTTTTAAGACAACCATACTCATCATCATTATTGCAAAGTATAACAAAAGAAACAATCAAGAACCACATCCATTTTCATTACTCATTCTAATATATATATGGGTACCGTACATATCATTTTCATTCATAAATATCATCATATCGTAGTAGATTTATATTCAAATAATTTCATTTCGTTCACAAATATCATCAACTATCCCAAATACGTATCCAAATCACTTCCATTTTCATTACATATTTTTATTTCTATCACCAGTATTAATGGGGGCCTATAGGAATCCCCTCTATACGTGGATGTACAAAATATTTCTTTTACAATTCATCGGTCGTCCCCACACTCCATCCAGTAATAGGTGTCACAATTATAAACCGTCTCAATACCCCGTCTGATAATGAACGTTACAATTATAAACCGTCTCAATACCTCGTCTGGTATGAGCATAATCAAACTAATTTTCAATTTCGTCCGGTATGGGATTTTCGGGTCTCATACGACTGGGGACACATTTACAGTGGGGTTTACCCTATGTATCAAGTCCGTACACTCTTAACCATAATACACGGTAAGTTTTTTCCTTTTCAAAAATTATTTCAACTTCAGAAACATAAACATCAATCACAAACATACATATTTTTATATTTATATACTTACTGACTTGTTCACGTATCCATTGTACATATAATTTATATGTATGTAGCACACTTTATATTATATATACATACACACACAACAATATATATCTTAACTACTCCTATACATATTTCACATAAAACTTACAAATCACACTCACACAACAGCTTTAATCACTTACTATTATGTATTCATACAGCTTCAACATTATTTTTAATTATACAAACACAATCGTAAGAAGCAATTCATACACTTTCACATACATATGATAATTTGTGAAAAAATATATTATAAAATCATCCATTAAATTTGGGTCCATCATTTTGAAATCAATTATTTTACGAAAACATCAAATTTTTAAATAAAAACTAACTCAGTTCTTATCAGAATATCCAGCGAGAGAAGAAATTGAAAAGCTTTCGAACAACTTTAGTTCT